ATGACGATTTCTTCCTCTTTTGGTCCCAGTTAGATGAGAAATGAAGAAGTAGCTGCAGTCATCAGGGCAGTTGGTAAAATAAGCCGTCAGACATGAAAATTGCAGCAGGCTGAACGGGAGGCAACACCAGACAGACGCTCTACTAAAAGCCAAACCTCTGACAGCTGCAGACCACGCAAAGCTGCATGTTGTTGTCCAAAATAGCATTTTTTCCCAGAAAGAGAGGAGTGGAAGTTTGAAAACTGAAAAATGTTAATGAAAGGAACAGAGCTGCTCCAATGTGCTGCCAGTCTGTTTATTAAAGCAGGTTCTGATTCTCTGTAGAGTGGGTCGGTACCAAGACATCCTGGAAAACAAAAGCAGGATTTCCATAAAGCTTGTCTGTAGAGGGAAACATGTTGGAGCGCTGCTCTGACTGGAAAACCTCTCTACACCTCAGCAGCTTGGATTCTTTTCTACTCCACTCTGCAAACTGACCCCTTCTATTTCCAAAAAAAATGCAAATTTAATGTCATTTGAAACGATTACTCTGACTGCAACATACGTTATTTACACACAGTTATTACTATAGCAGTGGCCCACTTTAGCCACATTTTGAGTTGAATTACTGAAAAAAAAAACTGAGGATATTATAATTTATTGAGATGCACTTCTATTTTGTTTCCTCAATTCTTTCTGCAAAAGATAAAAGCTAGTTGACTGCTTCTGTCTTTGGTTTTTTCCTTCTTTATTTCTTTGTTGTCTTGTAGTTCTCTCATTAAAGTGGATGTGATCTGATGGTGTGTGCCTGTATGTTTGCATCTTGCATCACCCTGAAGGTATGGGACCAGGTGAAAGCCTCCAATCCAGACCTGAAGCTCTGGGAAATTGGGAAGATAATCGGAGGGATGTGGAGGGACCTGACTGACGAGGAGAAGCAGGACTACCTGAATGAGTACGAAGCTGAAAAGGTTTGTGCTCAGTCCTCTGTGAGGAGAGAATGATCATTCATGGAACGTTAGCGTTGGGAACGTCTGCTGCTACGTGTTTAGCATGGACATGTATGTTAGGCTTTAATAGCTTCACACACAGGCTAACTTAGCGTTTTTGCCTGCAGATCGAGTACAACGACTCGTTGAAAGCTTATCACAACTCTCCAGCTTACTTGGCCTACGTGAACGCCAAGAACCGCGCTGAAGCTGCCATGGAGGAGGAGAGCAGGCAGAGGCAGAGTCGCATGGACAAGGGAGAGCCGTACATGAGCATCCAGCCTGCTGAAGACCCCGATGGCAAGTTCACTTTCACAAACCCTGAGACCCCCCAGAGGGGGAGCTGAGGCGCTACATGCTAACTGGACAGCTCTGCTTTAGCTAGCTGCTGATGTTGAAGCATGATGTTGGCTTGCCTTTCTGTGCCCAGACTACGATGACGGCTTTTCAGTGAAGCACTCGGCGGCCGCTCGTTTCCAGAGGAACCACCGACTCATCAGCGACATCCTCAGCGAGATCGTCGTCCCCGACGTCCGCTCTGTGGTCACCACGGCCCGCATGCAGGTCCTCAAGAGGCAGGTCCAGTCCCTCATGGTGCACCAGGTTGGTTGGCCGGATGAGGAGTGTCGCCATTGGTTATGTTAAGGTCGATGGCGGTTTCCTCTGAGCAGCTGTCTGCGGGTCATTTCAGAGAAAGCTGGAGGCGGAGCTTCTGCAGATTGAAGATCGCCATCAAGAGAAGAAGAGACGCTTCCTGGAGACTACTGATTCCTTCAACACTGAACTCAAGCGGGTGAGATTCCACTCAACGATTGGAGCTAAATAAGATCCAGCCTCACTGTAGCTACAGGTGTAATGTGTGTTTGTGGAAATTATTATGAAATTATACAAACAGGATCAGGACATGTTTTTTTCCCCTTCAGCTTTATTCCAGTTCAGATATTGATTTTCTGTTTCTAACTCAACATTTTTGTCAATCTTGATATTTTCTTTCCACAACTTTCCAATTTTATTCTTGGATCTGTGAAAGAGAAACTTTATTAGTCCCAAGTGGAAAATTATGTTGCCACAGCAACAATGAGCAAATAGATAAAGATTATTTGAAAAGAATATGTAAAATCTGATTATCCCTGACACACATCATAAGTAACAAGTATAGTCATGACAACAAATGTTATTTAATGAACTTGAGAATTTTCTCAATTATTTCTTTTGTTGGTTCTCTTGTTGAATTTTTGTTATCCAGTCAAATCAAACTATTAATTAAATATCTAGTGCTGGAATGTTCCAGGTTCATGCTAAATCCCATCTCCAGGTCACCTCAAGATGTTTTTAACAACCAGTATGAGACTAAACTCAGCTCTACAGTCTGACTGGCATTTAAAAAAAATTAAATTGTATTGTCCACAGCTGTCAAAACAGTGGAGGGAATATATTGTTCATGTTGTAAAGCCGTCCTGCTTGAACCGGCCTGTCTGTACTGAGTGCTGTGTTTGGCCTTGTCTCGTGTGCAGCTGTGCAGCCTGAAGGTGGAGGTGGACATGGAGAAGCTGGCGGCCGAGATGGCGGCTGCAGAGGAGGCGGCCAGGCGGAGAGCCGAGGATCGTGAGCGAGAAGCGGCCGAGCAGGCGGAGAAAGCGGCGCAGCAGCAACAGGAAGCTGCAGCCAACAAAGCTGCAGAGCAGAGCAACGCGAGCACCACCTCAGGGACCACAGAGGAAGACAAGCCCACACCAATGGAGACAGGTACTAATGCTTCCACACTGTGAGCTGCTATCCTATCCTGTTCAAGAAACATGATGGGTCACCTTTAAGTATGTAAACGTGTGTTCTGCTCCCCCAGATGAGGCGGCGCCGGCTGAGCCTCTCTCTGACCAGCAGTCTGCTGCCCCTCCCCTGCCTGACCCCCCATCTGCCTCTGACAAAACAGCCCCTCCCCCCGAACCCCCAAGGGAGAGCAGCACTCCGGTCAGCAGCGCCCCCAGTGATGACAGCAACAGCTTGCCCCCTCCAGCAGATGGCAGCATCGGGGCCACAGCGCCGTCGGACCCCTCAGTGGGACAGGAAGCCCCCAACCCTGGAGCTGCAGCCCCCCCACCCTCCTCAGAAGAAGTTGCCCCCCCACCACCTTTACTTTTGCCCAATCAGAGTAGCCAACAGTATGATGTGTGAGTTTAGTTAGAACAGAGTGGTAGCTGTAGAGGTGGGCCCTCTAGTGGTAAAGTTGTGAACCACACAGGTTCATGACTGCTCACCTCACAGACCAATGTTCTGCTAGTCTGTAGGGAACACACAACTGGTTCTGTTACTTCTTGCTTTCCTGTCACACACCTGAGACAATACTCCACCTGTAAACCTTCCCTTTGACCATCTCGGCTTTTCTGAAACATTTCTGACTCAGTTGGCTGGAAGAAGCTCTGTTTGGATTCCGTTGATTCCCAACCTTCTGCATGCTCAGCTAAGTACGAACCTGCAACAGTTTGAGGTTCCTGCTGATACGAGGAACCTTTAGAATATGTGGAATAAAACTAAGCAAGCTGATATCTGATGACTTGTTGAGTTTAAAGTCAGCGTTGTCGTTTCATCCGCAGGTTTCTGCTGAAACACCTTATATGTCCTCCATGTTGTTTCTGTAATGGTTTTCCATCATATTTTCTAATGTTTCTGCTAATATTAGAATCATTTCCATACATCAGAGAAGTACATGGGCCACCCATTCAAAGTTAACCTCACTTATCCATTCAAAGGACTGGTTTCTTACTTGAAATGGACCTTTTAGTAATCTGCCTCTTTTTGTACTGTCTGATCTTATTGATTCAAATAAATTTGATTTCCCGATCTGAGTGGATAACTGTTTTTTTTTTTTCCTTGATGTACAGTCACTCATCTCAATTCACTTAACAAGAAATGTTTAAATATTTAGAATGAAACTGACATTTTTTTCATCGTATTACAAATATGGTTAACATTTAACTGAAAAGTGAACCCACATTTTTTATTTTGTTAAATTGTAACCAAAATGGTTACCTCAGAAAGTCAGAGGGAAGATGAGAAAAAAACAATCCAATAAATGGATTTTATTAATATAATTCTTTTAATCGTTATAAAATCTGGGTTAAAATAGATATGCATTACTGTCACACAAAGGAAGAATTAAAAACAAGGTTTCTTTCTGACTGACTGTCAGTCAAATGAATCGGTTGCTTTGCTCCTCAAGCTACAAACGGAAAAGTAGAGAAACACCAGAGGAGCCATCCAGCAGCCCTGCTGCAAAAACCTCAACTTCAGAGAGGAATTAAAATGTTATGGGATAAATAAGAAAATAGGTCATTTTCTTATTGAAAGATGGGTTTGTGGTGGAAAATTTGATCTGGTAGTGTATTCGATATCATCATGAACTTTCTTTATAAAACACATCAACACCAGCCACAGCTGAAACCAGAACATCAGTCAAATTAATAAAGGCATAAAAATAAAGTGACAAAGTTGAGCACACAATTAATAAAGTCATAACTGTGACCTTCCTAACACAATGGCTTGAGTCCTAAAGTGATTTTATTTCATCTTTTGACAAAACATTTTTTACCACATTGCTTTTTGCCAACTAAAATCAGAAAGTATGAGGTCAGCATTTATGGTAAATGAATGTAATAATTATTGAAGAAATAAGTAAAAGTGAGAAAAAAAGTCAAATTTAGTGTTATTAGTATCATAGACTGAGTTTACAAAGAACCTGGTCCCGTTTGGGGCCCCTGGTTTTATAGTTCATGAAGTGGCAGATTGTTTCCAGAGTTCATTCTCTTTTGAGAACCAATAAAAATAAATCAATAAATCCATTAAGGAGGGTTAGGGTTACAGTTCAGATCAGAATGTTGGATCATTGATCATTGATTGAACACCCTCACTCTGTTGAAGCCTCTGGGTGAAGCAGCGGGACGCAAGGCGGCAGTGACGCCCCCACGCGCGTCACTGCCGCCCTGCGGGTGTGAGGATGCGCTCGCTCACCGGAGCGCAGCAGAAGCAGCCGCTCACTTCAACCTGGCTGCCATGGAGAAGCGCGCGCTCCCCGGGCTCTCCGTCGCGCTCGCGGCGCTGCTGCTGATTCCTGGGCGCGCGGCGGAGGAGTACTCCACCAAAACAGAGCCGGACTACGAGTTTGGGGACTACCGGGGCAAGTGGTGCATTGACGACCATGGCTTCGTGTACAGCATCGGAGAGGTTTACTACCCGAGCCCCACGGCGTGCCCCTGCACCTGCACCGTGGACGGCCCCGTGTGCGTCCGACCCAGGTGTCCCCGCATCCACCCGCAGTGCACGCGGATCAAGTATAAAGCGTGCTGCCCTGTGTGTGAGGCCATGGCCAGGGTCTGCGTCTACGGAGGCAAAACCTACAGACTGCTGGAGGAGTTCAGGGTGAGACAGAATCAGACTTCTCCATCCCTCCTCTCTGTCCCGTCCTGCCCCTCCAATCCCCGTGCAGGTGCGCCTCATGAGGCTGACCCTCCGACTGATATTTAGACCTTTGCTGAGGTAGATAAGATCAGTGGATAAGATCGGTGGATAAGATCAGCTTCACATGTAAGCATCGGCCGATCATCGATCTCACAAACTTAAGGAAATCGATGCCGATTTATCGGTGCAGCCCGAGCAAAAATACCGTCTGCGTGTCTGTTTCAAAGAGTTAATTTAAGGACAAGCAGGGGGAGCAAATCAAGTTCACACTATTGTTTCCAAACTCTTCTCCATTTTGTGACAACGCTTAAGGTTTTCGAACTTCAAAGCATAACTTTGTTTTCAACTCTGTAATTGTTTTTGACATTTTGCGTTCTGAATAATTTGGTGCAGCATGTTGTTCTCATGAAGTGGACACGGACAACATGGACATGGCGTTTCGTCTCTTCCAGGTGTCGAGGTGTGAGCGGTGCCGCTGCGAGGCCAACAGAGAGGTGTACTGCAGTATTTCCGACTGCCCGGCCCCTCACTGCGTGAACCCCACCTATGAGCCCAACCACTGCTGTCCCATCTGTAAGACTGGTAAGACTGGTAAGACTGGTAAGACTGGTCCAGCTCCAGTCCTGTCGCTGTCAAGCGTTACTGTCTTTGGCTATTTGAAATTAGTTAGACATGCTACCACAAAACTAAAAACAAATCTGTCTAACAGGAATAAATGAATTACTTTACAGTAAAGAGTAACTATCAACAAGTTAGAGGTTTAATCAGAATCATTAAGTCACCTGATTATTAGGAAATAATAACCAAACAGCTCTCAGTATTTGAGGTTTGTTATTATGGAACAATAGATGGAAGAGTCAATAAACTACAAGCCCTGCACACACACACACACACACACACACACACACACACACACACACACACACACACACACACACACACACACACACACACACACACACATATATATACATAACAAACATTAAAAAAAAAACTTTGCCATAAATGTGTTGCCTTGCCTTGCTTTTTTTTGTCATGTGAGAAATAATTTGATCTCCATGACAACCACTCCACAGTGCAAAATGCCAGGGTGGACCTCAGCCCACCCTGGAGGTGAAGCTCCTCCTCTGAGCTGCAGCTTCCAAACTTCTGAGTCTCAGAACAGTTCTCCCCCACTCAGCTCCTTCAGACTAGCCAGCAGCAATTAGCAAACACCTGGTGGAACTTGGCAGCAACAGCATTAGTGCTCTGTAAAACCCACTAACTACGACTATGTCACCTTCTCTCCACCTCCAGGGACAGTGCTGACATATCCAGACAGGTCTGAGAGAAAAAGTGGACAAAACGTTTGGAGCTCATTCTGAAAGAACTCAAAGCTCTCTGAAACTAATCTGACAAAACTTGGCACCAGCTTGCTTCGGGGCCCGCTTCGGCCCCCAAACAGTTAAGAATCAAAACACAGTAAAACACAAGCAAACAAACATCCAAATCGTTTTTATCTTAAACTTTTAATCCCTGCCCAGACTCCAGCTCTTACTTGCACTGTTGTGAGTGCCGGTGAAGCTCCAGGGGTTCCTGAATGTGGCTGAGCAAAGACACACTTCAGATAAATCCATTTATACTCTTAGAAACAAACGTCACCTCAAGGCACTTTACAGGAAGAAAAGCAGCTGCTTCAGCCTGGTTATAACACCACTGACAGCTGCCTGTGGAATACACAGTCAGAGGAACTTTCTTGGCTGGATTTATTGTACCAGTAGCATCCTGTCCTGGTTCCACTCTGGAAGGTCACTGAGTTCCTGGCAGCAGAACTTTCTTTCACATGTATTAGTAAAAGCTGATGACTGGACTAGAATTCAGGAATTCCAAGGAATCAACCAATACGTTGGCGTCAGAGTGTATCTTTTAAGATGTGGGTCATTTAGCACATTTGGCACTGGGTCAGCAGAAGAATTCCTAGAGGAAGTTGTGTAAAATTAGCATCCAGTTGGTTGCATCATTGTGCTGCGATATTATGTCTGCTTTTATGTATATTGGTGTCACCAGACCCCCTTCTTCACTCACAACCACCGCTCATATTGTTATGGCTCAGCATTTCACTTCCTCGTTTGTGCAGGACATTTCAGGACAAGGTAGCTCAAAGTGCTTAATGCCAAAAAAACACAAAAAATATAAGGTCATCAATAATTGAGAAAACCAGTTGACATTTAACATTTTGTCAAGTGCCGTCAATTCGCATCAAAATATTATTGAATGTTTCATTTATTATGGCTCAAAATCAGTACTGTAATGTGTTGTGATGCTAAACCGCTCAGTGATTTAGAAACTAACAGTAATTTAAAGTCTGTTCTCTTCTCCATCACTTAAGACCAAACCTCCAGTCAGTTGAGGCCATTACTGCAGCTGTTTGTGATGTAAGCGGCGCGCATCCTGCAGCGCCGCTTACATCACCTCAGCCTCGCTGCGGCTTACGGAAGCGACCCTGTTATGTCACACATGTCCTCTCAGCCTTTAAGACCCTCTTAAATATTAGTGGAATTAGTGTGGAGAGCTGCAGACAAATCTAATCATTTTGCACTGCTGCACTTCTTTTTCTTTTTCTTTTAAAATAAAAATCAAGTTACAAACCAATGATCTGACCTCTCAACTGGACCCTCAGCAGGCTCTGGGTGTTGCTTCCGGGGTCATGCTGCTTTGGCAGCGAGAGTAAAATTGTGCCGTCCAGTTATGTCTGGACAGGCAGCGGAACAGATGGTTTGGTTTGTTGCGTCATTGTTTTTTTTTAATGTTTTTATTTCTTTTTTTATTTTGCCATCGCTCCAATTTCCCCCACGTCAGCTGCGTCTTGGAGGGATCTGGACTGACTGAGCTTCCTGTCCCCTCCGACTCCCACTGCTGCTAATTGTTTCAACTGTCGCTGCCGCATGAAGGAACCACCTGTGACTGAGAGATGAAAATGATCAAATGGTTTTTTTTGGTGTTATTGAAGTGTTTGCTCCCTTTCACTGAGTTACACTTAGACGCTTCAGTTCATCAAACGCATTTTAATATCAAGGATAGCAAGATACAAAAAGTAGTTTTTAAAACATTTCATTTGTTAAAGTAAAAAATTAGCTGACCCTATATGAAGATGTTCTGCCCTCTTTTTAAAGAATTTGATCTTGTTAGTGGACAGATGAGTTTAATTCAACTATTGGGTATCTAGAATCAAGAAATCACTTAAACAGAACTTGTCTGACAACATGAAGTAGGCTGATTTCTTTTCATGAACGGGTCACCCATCAGAACCACAGAGGTGCATCAACAGGTCATCTGAGAGGCCTTATAAAGACAAGAGTTCATGGTTCAACAATGATGGGCAAAATGGATTCCGGACCTGAAAGTACACAAAGAGCCACATTTACCTAAACGCATCTCGGTGTCAGAGATATTTGGGGAGATATTCTGTGGACTGATGAGACAAAAGTGGAGCTTTTTGGAAGGAGTGAGGAAGGAACAAGCATAGAAGTAGCAGAAAGAGAACACCAAGACAAGGGAAGTTTGCTTCTGCTTCTGGTGATTTTTCCAATGGGAAGCACACTGCAAAAGGAACTGGTCCAAGCACAGAGCCCAGTGGTTCTCCACAATAACTCTGAAGAGGGGAGATTTATTGTTTACATGAACAAACTGGAACCTGTCAGGTGGATGGGATTTAAACCAGTCTGGTGTTGTTCCTTTGATACCTACATAAACCAGCACAACGCAGATCGGATCCGGTTACACATACATGTTCAAGACGTTCTAAGAAAAAGAGAATATTGTACATTGTGTTGGACTGGATCAAAACCAGAACAGATAGTCCATTATCTGAAGCCAAGAGAATATCATTAGTAGCTTTCAGCAGTTGTGTTTCAGATGATGAGTTCTATGATGAGTTCTGAAACCAGACTGAAACTCTTCAAACGCCAGTTTAGAAGATTAGATACAGGTCTTCTACCTTCAACGTATGTGGTTTACTTCTTTACTTTTATTCCTTAATAACTAAAACCATGTTTTCTGTTTGCTATATTTCCCCCCAAAAGTAAAATCTTAATTGATTAACTAAAACATTTATGTGCAGCAGAATGGAAGCACTGGGTGAAGCCCTGGGTGAAGCCCTGGGTGAAGCCCTGGGTGAAGCCCTGGGTGAAGCACTGGGTGAAGCCCTGGGTGAAGCACTGGGTGAAGCCCTGGGTGAAGCCCTGGGTGAAGCACTGGGTGAAGCCCTGGGTGAAGCCCTGGGTGAAGCACTGGGTGAAGCCCTGGGTGAAGCACTGGGTGAAGCCCTGGGTGAAGCCCTGGGTGAAGCCCTGGGTGAAGCCCTGGGTGAAGCACTTGGTGAAGCACTGCACCGTCTCCTGTGCTTTCAGGTCCCAACTGTTTTGCCGGCAGCAGGGTGATCCCGGCGGGGGAACGTGTGAACATCGACGAGGAGACGGTGTGCTACTGCACCTACAGGGACGGAACGTGGCACACCCACCCCCAGGCCACCTGCGAACAGCGCCCCCTGCCCAGCTCCACACTGCGTCCCCGCACTGACGCCCCCATGGACGAGGACGTGGCGGGGAGACTGTTCCCGAGACTGGACCTGATACCCTGAAGCAGAGTCACTGGTTCCAGTTCTCAGTCAGTGGGACTCAGAGCAGTGAATGTTTGGGACTCATGCTGAATGCTCACCAGCATTCAGCATTAAAGTTTAAGTTTACTGATAAGTACTGACATACATCCTAATGATGAAATTAGATCAAATAAGAGTCACTAACATTACATATAGGAAATGGTCTAAAGTGTCGGGAAAGTCGTGACTGTTGTCACAGCGTCAAACAGGTGAGGTCTGGTGGAAGCCCAGATGTTGCCCACATCTGTTGTTTGTAAAACAACAGATTCTGTTTTTGTCAAAAGTCCAGATAATTCCATATTACAGCCTGAAGAAACCTCATCACACAGAACCAGAACTGTTCTGATGTTCTCACTGACACTTTCTGACCTTCCTGTCTGGAGCTCTAACTGTGACACTAATCAACTGGGACTACAGTGATGACATGTGAATATTGTACTAACAAATATATATTTACACAAACATATTTAATTATTTTGCCATATTTTAACCTATTTAATGTCGACCAGCTGCAACATCCTGACTCCATTCTGTCTCACCTGTCACACTGAGTGGTGCTGCACTGATCTGGTTGAGATAAACTTATATTGTTAACATATTCTGATATGGTTATGATAAATTGATCTGGTTATGATTAACTGATCTGAAGTGATGCTCCTGTGCAGGTCAGCCGATGTGATGAGTCACATTTTCAGTTTTTACATTTACTGCAGAAAACAAGAGAAAACCTTTTAAAAATGTGACTTAGACATTATGTGTTTAGTAGAGACATTAGTAAATAATGTGAATATGTTTATGTGTGGTTTTATTGAACTCTATGAACAAATAGAAGTTGTTTCTGTAGAGCTGTTTGTCACATACAGATGTTTCATGTTTCCTGTTCTGATCCTGCCAGACCAAAAGAAAAGATTATGATAGATTATCCATCATTTTATTGTGTCCTTTATGACTACCGAGGTTTTGGATGCCTGTTTCCTTAGTGTAATAGATCTCTTTAATTTTATTATGGCTCTTAATTTCGAACAATTCCCTCCCTCACTCAAGATTTTCATCTGGTCACTTTTTTTAAACTTTCTGAAGGCGCCCCCTACTGTTTGGATGACCTTCACGACTCCTCCAGAATCGCCTGGTCCAAACCAGAACCTTGTTTTCCAAACCAATAATTTATCCAGATCTGTTCATTTTTAGAACAATAAAGGCATTACTGAACGTTCTTTTCTTCTACTTATTCCATTTCCAATAAAAGTTAAAACATTGGATGAGGAACAGCACTAACATCAAGCTCAGATTAAATCCCTGTCAATTAACATTTTGGTCTCAGTTGTTTTCCAGTGAAAATATCATCACATCTCAAAAACCCTGACCTGCCAATTCTGAGTTTGGCTAATACTTTTTCTCTGAATTGTTAAATAGCAAGAAAGTTGCTTAGTTGGCAACAGTAGGGTCACTGTTAATTTCAAACATGCAGATGACCTGATGGGCCTGTCAGGTCATCTGCATGTCAGATTGGCTGATGTCCCAAAATTAAGAAAATCAGGGTCGATATTGCAGAACTGGTTTTAACCTGAACATGACAGGTTTTCTTCACCCCGACACCTCCAGATGTTACTAAACATAAACCCACTAGTTTTAGATTTTAGCTCACGTTTCAGTGCACCATCTAGTGGCAGCTCCATGTGATGCAGGATCATTTAAAACAGAAGTATCATTGAGCTCAGTTGGAGATGAACATTTTTATCCCCTCCGTTCAGGTGTGAACGTCAAACAAGCAGGACAAGCAGCTTGGTGAACAGTTTTTATTGAAAACAAACAGGTTCTCTTCAGGCGATGCTGCCAGCATTGGAGGCGATTCTGGGCCACAGGTCAGCGCACTCTTTGGCCACTGGTCCTGTGATGGCTGAACCTGAACATGCATACAAATGAAAATCTGTCACTATTGGCCAAACATCAAGCTGGTTACCAAGAAAGACACAATTCACAGGTTTTAACATTGAAACTGATAAAGTAGCCAGAAGATGGTGTGAAATATGAATAATATGAGTATTGTCTCATCCCTGATTGAGATCAGACAGTCACGGGGTCACTGCTTTCTCACCCAAAGAGATGAACTCAGTCTGCCCTTCTACGACAACTCACCCAGCCACTGAGCAGACAACGCAAGTGCTTTTTGAAGGGAGCTTTGGTTTAACAACTGCACCTAAACTAACCACGACTATCAGTGTTGATGTCCTGGGACTGAACACACCCAACCATGAGTAACATGCTGCTGTTTCCTGGTTTCATCCTCTGGTTCCAACACGGATCTCTAAACCCACCTTTCATCTCTCCTTTGTTGTTGACGATGACACCAGCGTTGTCTTCAAAGTACAAGAACACACCGTCTTTTCGCCGATATGACTTCCGTTGCCGTATCACCACTGCAGGATGCACTGAAAGACATTAGAAAACTTTTAACTTGTGTAACGCATTACATCTATAATTTAACTTATTAAGAATGAAGTAAAAATAAAAAACATTGAACAGTTTACCATGAACACCTGATTATGTTCCTGTTACTGCAGGACGATACGGCTGACAATGTATCACAATATAAGGGGTTCATATTAGATGATAGATAGTTATTGATTAGTTATTTGTTTCACAACCTCTCCTGTTTTAACTCAGGAATAAATGAGATTTAAATAAGATTATTTTCCTGGCTCTCCGTCAAACCAGTTGTTAACACAATGCTCTGGAGGGTCAAAGTCAACAATTTTATACTATAATACGTTTCCTATAAATCTGATGATCACTTCTGAAGTGTTCAACTGAAAAGTTACTTGAACCCTAAAATCAGCAAGCAAGTCTATCAATAAATAAATACATAACTGCATGATCAATTAACATGAGTGTAATCATTTCTACTTGGCCAAATATTGTTAAATAGAAGCTCTAAAAACATTTGGCAGTCAATGTGAAGCAGTGAGTGTTCACAACTTTTGCCTGTTGTTTACACAAATATTTTACACAATACTAAGCTGAATGACTAATACTTTCTGAAGTGCAATTTTGGTTACTGAAACTTTGTTATGCATTTTAATTACTGTTTTGGTTATGTATTTTGGATGTTTAAAATATTTTACAATTCTAGTGTTAAATGTTCTTTAGACATTAAAGTTGTATTTATTTATTTATTTTTTTACATTTTTTTGATAAATGGTCTCAAAATGACAGCATGACTATTTATTGCTGTAATTTCTGGGGCAATTCATCATCAGCATGATTTGTTATTATAACGGCCCGTATTGTGAAGATTAACTGATGACATGATGACATCAGCATGAGTGGACGTGCTGCATGCAGGCTGTGGTCAGACTCACCCTTCTTCCTGAGCTCAGGTTTGCCTTTTTTCACTGTGGCCATAACCATGTCACCCACTCCTGCAGCCGGCAGACGGTTCAGACGCCCCTTGATGCCCTTTACAGAGATTATGTACAAGTTCTTGGCACCTGTGGGACAGATAGGGCCCCATCAGTGAAAACAAGCATCACAGGAGACATGAAGACATTAAGGACATTAAGGCTTGTCTCATCCCTGATTGAGATCAGTCAGCCACAGTGAAGCTGCCGTCTCACCCACAGTGATGACTTCCTGTCTCCTTCTACGACAACTCACCCAGCCACTGGGCAGACAGAGCAAGTGCTTTTGGAAGGAACATTCGTCAGAAACAAAACCTGCCACCATTTTGTTTCATGTGGAACAATGGCTCTCCGACTGCAGCTCCACCTGAACCTGACTAATAGTTTAATAGAAAGAGACATTGGGCTGCGAACTTAAGACCAAACTGTGTGATTTAAGACCCAATATGGGGAAAAATAGAAATGTGTAACTTTTTGTTTTAGATTTAGAATGCTAAATTTAGATTATTTACTTTTTAAAGACCCCCTCTCTGATGACATCATCTTTCACTGCATTCTGGAGGTCCATCTTTAAGAGACGCAACATCACTTCAGACAAGAAGTTCTTATTGAGACATTCTTAAACCAGGTGAATAGTTTCATTTTATTAGTACGTCATCTGGTATTTATTAAAAACAATAAAAGCAAGAATTGAACATTTTTGAGAACCTTCACCAGACTTTGCAGCTTTAAATGGAAAACTCCAGCACATCTTAAAAGTTAAGATACAGAGTGCAAACAAAAAAATAGTCTGAAAAACTGAATCCTAACCATATTAATAGCAAATTATTGTTCTCAGAAGATGCTTCATTCAGTCATTATCCATGCAAACAACACAACTGCCCGATCTAATCATCTGCTGTTTTCACACATGCATATCTTCGGCCACATACCTGTGTTGTCAGCACAGTTGATGACCGCTCCCACTGGGAGACCCAGTGAGATGCGGAACTTTGCACCAGATGAACCACCACGTCCTGAAATACAGAAAACAACATGATCTTCTGCCTGGAGCCTGTCCTGAACATTACTTCAACTGCAAAAAATATAAGTAACAAGTTGGGACTGTCACCATGTTTGCAGATCAGTTGTAATACGCAACTTGGAAAACGGTCTTAGTACCAACCATCACTGAAGTGACCATGTGAAGTTGTCTGCTAGTCTGTCTGCTCAGTCAGTTCTAATAGTCATCCATTAAGTTAAAGCCATGTGTTGTCTGACCCGCGTATCTATTAAATGAGTGCTGAACAAACTTATGAATTAATTACAGTAATTCTCCAACACTACTCACGTTGCTAGCTGCGGCTAGATTTAGCTACATTCAGTAAACATATTGTGAGGCACAGCAGCATTATTTAAAACCCGGGTCAGATGGAAATGAAGCAGGCTGTGGTTTGCTGTGTTCTCAGTTGATCTCGGAGAGAACGCGCAAAGTATACAGCCTCAAAACTGATTTCTTTGGCCGCCATGCTACATGGCCCTGATAGACAAATATGGCGGCCGTCACCAGAAAGGCGAGATGCTACAAGACTTTAACCGTTAACTACTTTGATAAATCTACAACGAGCAGCAGGAATACATAATAGAGAATACTTATTCACACTTCAGTAACATTACATTCTCCACAGTGTGATGAAAAACAGTGGATGGAGGTGGATTTTACAGGAAGTCTATCATACCTCTCTTGGACATTGCTGCGACAGGGAAAGAGGAAGGCGGAGAAAGGAATTATGGGTTATAAAGTTGAACACAAATACATCCGGGTCATCAGCCTGTGAGACGTTCAGATGCTGTTGGAAAAATGTAAACCACTTTACAGTTCAGTTCAATTGCTTTAAGATAGAACTCTTTAATCGTGTTTCTTTTTAAATCCAGACAATAATTTATAAATACGTAAACAAGTAATAATGTTATCCATAAAGCAAAACTCATGCTATTTACTATTTTAAACTCTATTCTGTGCAGTTTATATGTGTCCTCAAACCATTATCCAGATGTGCTTCGGTTAGTGAAGGGTACACAGTTTACTATGATTTGGAGTCAAATCTTAACATTCTAACATTTCTTTCTGAAAGAGCAAACATATTTAATAAACAACAACTCTGTGGAAAGAAATGAAATAAAAATCAGCTAGTAGTTAGTTTGATACAAATGTAAGAATTTGTTCCCAGAGTAACAGAAACTATTGTTAACCAGCAACATCAAAGCTTAAAACAGTCATTTGGAGCCTGGCCTTATGGATCAAACTGCCAAATGTCACTGATACTGATACCAACACCCTGCTGCTGCATTCTCCAGTTCTAACTTAGTCACCATCAGTTCACAGCAGGAACATAGAACTTCTTTTCATCCTACATCCTCTCTAAGTGTACAACACTAATATGTTTGACTTATATTTTCACTTTATTTATTTATTTTTAAAGAAAAATAACATAAAATAACACATGGTCTGTAATTCTGAACCTGTCCATTTTTTTTACTTCAAACTTAGAAATGTCCTAGTTTTTTTCTAAAACATTTCTGAGATTAATCTCAAAATTACTGAGGTAATTAGCTACATAGTTTTTATCATGTAATTAGGTACATGATAAAAAAAATGTACTCCTTTTTATTATTATCATCATCATTATTATTATTATTATTATTATTATTATTATTATTATTATTATTATTATTATTATCTTGATCTGCAATGGCCCTAATATGCCGTCATAGACATTAAACAGTGCAGAACAATAGACCCACCTGTCAGTTATGCAAAGAGCATTCAGAAACAA